GGAACGGCGTACAGGGTCAGTGAGCAGTGAAGAAGAACGGTATACTGAACCAGTGACAAGACACGATATACTAGACCAGTGAACAGGCACGGCATACTGAACCAGTGACAAACACGATATGCTAGACCAGTGAACAGCCACGACATACTGAACCAGTGACAAGACACGATATACTAGACCAGTGACCACGAACGGCATACTGAACCAGTGGCCAGGAAGAGCATACTGGACCAGCGATCAGGAACGGTGTACCGAACAGGTGACCACGAAGAGCATACTGGACCAGTGACCAGGCGCGGTACATCGAACCAGTGACTAAGAATAGCATACTGTACCGAGCGGTAACGAGCGGTATGCAGGACCACGTGGACCGCACAGTTACCTCCCATAGAACTCATGCCACACATGAGTACCACTGCATATTGTGAGTAGATCGCTGCTGAGTGACGGGTAATATCACTGCTGTGATCCCGCTCCGGCTGAAGGAAGTAATTATATTCAGCTATGACCGTTTTGGTGGGTCAAACTCTCCTGTTGTGCTATTGTGCTATGCTATTGTGCTATCGCGGTACTGACATTGTGTTTTGCGGGGCCAAATAACGGTGCTTTGAAAATAAGGGTATGTGTTCATAGCTTGGTTACTTTACCTAAAACCTCACACTTTGTTTTTCCAGATAGTTATTAAAACGTATCTCATCTGGAGCAGTGCGTAGAACAGCTGACACTTTTTGATGCTTGAAATAACCGCACCAGCTCCGCACCCAAATTTCAAATCATGTATGCTTGCATCCATCAGATGTGTTTACAAACCATTGTGTGCTTGTGTGCGACCTGTGTTTGCGTGTGACCTGTGTTCCCCTGTGATCTGTGCTTTACTTGACAAATGGTGTGCAAAATCCAGCAGTGTAATAATGCAAAATAAGCCAGGGGTGGGCTGACCTGGGCTACATGAGTAAACTTGTTCTTCTGTTGGGTGCTGAGCTGGAGCCTATTATTTGAAGAGCAAACTACACCCATGATAAAATTTACCACCACTACTCACTTATTTTAAGACGGTCTCGTTCTTGCGTTGAGATTTCATCCCCTCAGAATGCATCGTGAATTTTTGTACCTTGCTGTAGGCTGAACAGTTATGAAGCTATGGTAGTCCAGCCTTAAATCTCCAGCATTTCATGGATTGTACGCACTTGACATGGCATGCAACGCGTAACTGGAAAACTTAAGAATAAAATGTAGCTTTCCTATTTCATCGCTTTCGTGCAAAAAAAAACTTTTTCCGCCAGCATTTGTTACCAGCAGTTGCTTGCTAGCTAGGTTTAAATTCATGGTTAATGAAATACAGTTGGGAGATTTTTACATGTGAAATATCCGCCAGTACCCGCGATGTAGGCAGCAATACCCGCTAAAAACCTCGTAGGTTTTTAAGGTCGCATTTTTCAGGCCTGTGAGCTTAAAAATGGCAGCACCGGTGGGCAGCTCTTGAGCAAGACGAGCTACGGACGTTTTGGCCGGAAGCCCCCTTTGACTGATGGGACAACATCTACTGCTCCCATGGTCTGGGAAGAGCTACGCACCAGTACCTAAATACGGCATAGCGATCACCAACCACCAAGAATGAAGTAAGTAATAATGTGCATCACCATACATTGGGCTCTCCGATAACTCAAGCTATCTTTTTTCATTCAACTATTAAAGGTAATATAGCTGCATTGCTTACAGACGAATAGTCTTCTGTCGTGATGTCAGTAACGAATATAGCTCATACTGAGCCGCCTTGTTCGATGGCAGCTGTCTGTCACTGAACTCCTCTGTCCTGCTGGATGGCAGTTACTCGTCATAGGATCCTCCCGCCTTCACGAGATCGGGTGGCGTCGTCGGGTAGTGCTGACCATTAGATCGGGTGGCGTCGTCGGATAGTGCTGACCATTAGATCGGGTGACGTCGAAGAGTGTTGACCATTAGCCAATGCTATCTTCTGGAGCCTTGGTGAAGGACGATGTTCGTTCTCTGCAACACCATGCCTGCGTATATCATGCAGGATGTTGCACCGTCTTCGTCACGAATTTTCAACTGATTCAGCAACGGGTACGGGACAAAGATCGCTCAGCACAAATACCGCTGCGGACGAACATCGCTCAGCACAAAGTCTGTTGCCGACAAAGATCGCTCAGCACAAATGCTTCTGCTACGTCACTGGAGCTGGTTTACTGTGACGGATGTGAATACTCCTATGACTGATGCTCCTACTGGTAAGGGATGTGCCATCCTCTGAACGGCTCCCACGGCCCCCCCTCTCTTTCAAAGAATTTGTGGTATTTTGCGGGTGCTGCAGCCTGGGATCGAAACCCCGCACCGTGATGCGACCTCGCAAACTGACATGTTTTTGGCGTGGCAGTTCTTTTACATGCTGGAGCAGCCCTGAAATGTTGATAGGCCCTCCCCACATCACACTTGGATGGCGCCAAAAATGTAGTACAAGGCGGTAGGGTTTTTAAGTAAATCGGCTGACGGTTTCATGCTATAGATTCATTCCTGTATTCATTAACCTAGGGTTAGGGACGGCTGTGAGACCAACGACAAACCAAACCACTTGCTGTGGACAAGTTGCTTTAAAAGGTGCTTTTTGACGCTGATTTCCAATATTTTTGTCATATGATCGTCAACATACGCCTTATTTGAACTTAATAAAGGTGAGAGGAGGTCGCTGACCTAAGATGACCTCAACCGATCTTTTGCTTTCAGGCGCATGTCGTCTAGGTTAACCCTTGTCGTTTATGAATCTTCAAATATTAACACAATTTTGAAAGTTTTTGGTAACTGACCTTCCGGAGATGAAGTAGGCCAGTGACCTTACATAAGCACCAGTGACATTTTGCTTAGAAAAAGTATGCAAGTTTAAGTTGGTTGCATGAAGGGGTGGTCTGAGGGCACTTCGGACGCCGATCTGGAGTTTGACCTTGTTTGGCCTTATGTCACCAAAGGATCATAGACCCATGGACTTGTTGACCCATGGACCAAGTTGACAAAGTGAAATCACATACAGGCCTACCTACCCTGTAAATTTGGCGTCTCTAGCTCTCTCGGTTTATACGATTTCAGGGGTCAGATTGACCTCCAGCCTGAGCATGTCACATTGAACCAACCATCCGGGCGCGTGTTAAATCAAACACTAGTAGGGGATGCCTTGTGCTGATATGGAGAAACAAGTCCACCACGAGGCATATGGGCATTTTATATGTGTTCATGAAACGATAAAGTCGTGCTGTTTTAGTTTTTATGACCGCAGTCGAGTAACAAGATGCGTTGATCTCGCAGAGCGAAGAAGCTGGCAATCAGATTCGAGATAAATGACGTCGTTGCCTTGGGGGCGAAAATCTCTGTTAAAGGGAGCGTTCCACAATTGCACGGGATTTTGAACTGAAAAAGCCATATTGAAGGTCTTGTGATGCAGCTCACGGACATGCCCCTTTACAACCCAAAGCCTTTTGGTTCCTGAGAGTAAAGGCAGCAAAGTTGTAGTAGAGTCTTTTTGGGAGAGCATTTGAAGGTCACCTTGGCATTCATGATCTCACAATGTGCGATCTAATAGGCCATGCGATGACCAAGGCCAAGACACATATAGCGGTCGAGTCATTCATATCTGGCGTTCGTGAGCACCATTTACAGAATAATGGCCGCGCATTGGCTCTCAATGAATGTTGTGCAACGTAGGATGACGTAATCAAACACTGACGTATCTAGGAGTACATTTACCAAACAGAGAAAATACATTGTCTACAGCGGTCTTTTCTACGTAAAAGTATCACAGCAGTCATAAGTGAGCGTGTTTCATCATATCTGACGGTTACTTCAATAAATTTGAATGTGAAACACTCCCTTTAATCACCCAACCTAGCGCAAAACGCTGCCCGTGTCTTGGGACGAAATCTCCGGCAATCAGCCAAGCCTGCCAGGTGGACGGAGCCATGCTTGGCAGTTGATTACACCCGCTCTAGAGCCCGTAGATCAGCGGGTACAGTTCTGCATAGGTGTGGCCACATGTATTGGCTCATGCTTGTGGACTTATATTTACAACGGAGGGAAACACTGAACCGCTGTTCGCGACAGCCGCAATCGACCGTGGGGTGGCGGTACTGAGCGTGCCGCCGTTGCCTTGCAAACGCAACGGACGTCCGTGACGACAGCGGGAGGCGCGTCGAGAAAGCACGCACGTGCTGCTGAGCTGAGGTTTTGTCGCAGCCCGTGCCTTGCGGTGCGGCAATGGACGAATCTCACTGCAACATCAACACATTTTACTCACACCCACATCGATATATCACAATGAACGCGCGGCCAAGTCGTGCGTTTGCGCGAGCTTCATCACAGACTTCTCGTTTCGCGGCTCCGGGGCCCTGGCGTCGAGCGTGGCCACCAGAAGGACAGCGGTGGTCGCGCGCTCGTTCCTGGGGCACAGCCACTGCGGACCACCAGAAGAGAGGGGGCCGACCCCAGACGCGACCGCGCGGGACTCGCGGGCGCGCTTGGCCAACACCCACGGACCGATCTCACTGGACGGGACACCGCGTCTAACTCCGCTCACTGGGGAGCACCGTCGAACACTGAGCACAACGCTGGGAGAGCGGACGTAGACCACGACCCCGCCCACGCTGCACGGGTCTCCGTATGGCTGTGCGGTCGTGGCGGTCGCTGCTGCTGATAGACCGCCTCAGGGGATGTCTGGCAGTCGTCCAGCAACCATCTGGAGTTCGCGCGTTGGCTGTGTGGCGGTTGTCCGGCTGCCATCCGACTGTTGTCTGGCAGTTGTCCGGCTGCCGTCCGACTGTTGTTCGACTGTTGTCTGACTGCTGCCCAGTTGTTGTCCGGCTATTGTCAGACGGCAGACCGGTTGCTGTCTCGCTATTGTCAGATAGCTGACCGGCCGTCGCCTGGCGTCTGCCCGGCGCTGTCTAACTGCTGACCGTCTGCTGTCCCACAGTTGTCCGGCGGCTGTGCGGCCCGCCTCAGGGCAGCGCGGGCGGCCGGGCGTACAGGGCCGAGTAAGGCGCGTAATAAGCCCCCGCCAGAGAGCCGGGCTGCGCGGGCCGCCGCCAGCGCCAGCGAGGCCGGCTTCGAGTACGGATGGTAGCGCGCGGCCGATAGCGGCGACAGCGGCGCCGGCGCGAAAGGCGACCGGTGGCCTGCCAGCAGCGCGCCGCGCGGAAGCGGCGACGGCGCCGCCTCGGCCGGCGACAGGCTCGTGTGCGAGCGCAGGTGCTGCATCAGCTCCTCGGTGCTGGCGAACCGCTTGCCACAGTAGCGGCCGTCGGCCATCCAGCTGCAGACGACAGGCGCCACGCCGGCGCCGGCCGCCGCCAGAGGCGGGTAGAAAGGCGAGCCCAGCGCCAGGTACGGCGAGTGAAGCTGCGCCGAGCCGAGCGCGCCGCCCAGAGCCTTGGCGTGCTCGCACTGGGCGCAGCCGGCGGGGCAGGGCGCGCCGTAGCCGTGCGGCGTGCTGAAGGCGCACGGACAGTACGGGCTCTGGCACTTGTCACCGGGCCGGTGGTGCTGCAGGCCCAGGTACGCGGCGGTCGGGTACAGCCCCGGCAGGCCCGGAGGCGTCGGCCGCAGCGCCGCCGTCACCAGCTCGGCGCCTGGCAGGTAGGGCGGCAGCGGCAGCGGCAGCGGCAGCGGCGGCGGCGGCGCGGCCGGCCGCAGCGAGCCCAGCGCGGCCAGCTCCCTGGCGCCGCTGCAGCCGGCCAGCACCTCGGCCCCGGGGCGACTGACAGGGCTGGTGGTCGAGCTGGCCTCGCTCTTGGGCGTCTTCCGGCTGTCGGGAGACAGGGGCGGCGACCTGCGGTCGCGGTCCGTCGCCGGCTCGGGGTCCGACGCCTGCTCCTCGGCCCGGCTCTCCAGCTCGTACGGTTTGAAGGCGGGCCGCTCGGCGACCGGCGATTCCTTCCGCGTCTCCTCCTTCTTCTTGTCGGGCGGCGGCGGCGGCGGCGGCGGCTTGGCGGCGATGGTGTCGGCGCCGATCTGCGAGCATGTCTTCTGTAGCATGGCCAGCGGCGAGGACTTGGAGTCCATCTGGCGGAACAGAGCCGAAGCGGTCAGGCTCGTCACCTCCACCACCGGACTGCGAGTCCACCGGAGGACGAGACAAAGCCGGCACGAGAATGGGAGCCGTCCGCAGAGCCGAATAAGGGCCGAAACGTTCCCCACAATTTTATCTCCACGCAACAGAAGCACAACAGTGAACATCCCGATGGGCCAGGAACACATGGCGTACGCACACGCACCATCGTAGACACACACAGCATGCATGATATCAAGGTCGCCTCCAAAAGTGAGGAATGTCGCGGAAGGTCAGCAACACTCGGACCAACTTCACGACAAAACACTCTGGAGGACACCTGACACCGACACGATGGTCCACACAGGCACGAGGGCGTGTCAGCGCGGCAAAAAAGACCCTCCGACGGGCGGACGATTGATTTGCGGGTCGTTCATGCGAATGGGAGATGGTGTTATTGGGACACTAATGGTGCACTGCGGGTCGGCCGGCAGCCGGTCTGACAGGGCCGCAGTGCTGGCCTGCTGGCCTGCTGGCCTGCTGGCCAGCTGGCCTGCTGGCCTGCAGCCGGGCCAGCTGGCCCCTCACAGTGCTGGCCCGCAGCCGGGCTCCCACTTCCCCCGGCGGTGCAGCCGTGCGCGGCGGGGCAGCGCAAACACAGAGCAACGACACGGTGGAAACCCCGGTCCGAACGGCGACCCGGTCGTGGACACACGGGAGCGGCTGCGGATCTGGGCGACGGCGGAGCGGCTGGCTCCGGGGAAGGTACGCTCCAGGTCGGAGGGGAGGTGGGACTGCACATCAGATCGACGGTGAAGCACGCGTCCAACAGACCGCGTTGTTTCGGATTCAAGGGACGGTGGCGTTACGGAGTCCAGGGCAACGGAGTCAACAATGTACAGGAGCTGTGGCATTGTGGATCCCCGGAACGGCACGGGTCACAGATGCCAGGATGGTGGAGTAAAGGTTCATGTGATGATGACGTCATCAGGACTGTGAAGTCAGATCACGTGATGGTGACGTCATCAGGACTGTGAAGTCAGATCACGTGATGGTGACGTCTTCAGGACTGTGAAGTCAGATCACGTGATGGTGACGTCATCAGGACTGTGAAGTCCAATTACGTGATGGGGAGCCAGAAATGCCAGAGTGGGTGGGGGGGGGGGGGGGGGGGGGGGGCAGGGGGCACCAAACCACAGACGACATAGTCGTCGGGTCGTGGTCCTCGCGGAGGTGACGTCACAGGTACGGAGATCTTTGGATGACGGACACCGGAGCGGCTGCGTCTCTGCATTTTCGATGGCTCTGCGAGGTATCGTGCCAAAATTATCTTCATCATCCGTAGCATCTTCCAGAACTCCGCCAAATTTTAGAGCCAGATATGACGTCAGGTTTTACCAATCCACGGACATTCTGACTCGGCCGTGGACATCCTAACGAGACCCGGCTGCTTGTCATTCAAGCAAGACTTTCCTGTGGGACATTCTAGCCGAAAGCCCTGTTGTATAGCTAAGCCCTGTTGCAAGACATTCTAGCCAGAAAGCCCTGTTGTATAGCTAAGCTCTGTTGCAAGACATTCTAGTCAGAAAGCCCTGTTGTATAGCCAAGCTCTGTTGCAAGACGTTCTTGTCGGGTTCTGCCGCTTGTAGCACGCTCAAACCGTGTCGTTCAGGTTGTAACACACAGAAGTGGGCACCACCCCTGGTGTTGCTGGCGTTCCGTGCGGGCCGACAGCGCGAGCACGTACTCACAGGGGCCGCGCAGGCGCAGGCGGGCCGCACCGACACCGCGCGGTCAAGGCCATCTCAGTGCGGGGCGGATCAGACAACGCTGACTGGGGAATGTGGGCGAGTCAGGTGGGCGGGTCAGGTAGTGCGGACTGGGGAATGTGAGCGGGTCAGGTAGTGCGGACTGAGGAATGTGGGCGGATCAGGCAGTGCGGACTGAGGAATGTGGGCGGATCAGGTAGTGCGAACTGAGGAATGTGGCGGGATCAGGTAGTGCAAATTGAGGAATGTGGGCGGGTGAGGTATTGCGGACTGAGGAATGTGGGTGGGTCAGGTAGGCAGGTCAGGTAGTGCGGACTGAGAAATGTGGGCGGATCAGGTAGTGCGAACTGAGGAATGTGGCCGGATCAGGTAGTGCAGATTGAGGAATGTGGGCAGGTGAGGTATTGCAGACTGAGGAACGTGGGTGGGTCAGGTAGGCAGGTCAGGTAGTGCAGACTGGGGAATGCGGGCAGGCCAGGTAGGCGGGTCAGGTAGTGCGGACTGAAGAATATGGGCGGATCAGGCAACGCGGACTGAGGAATGTGGGTGGGTGAGGTAGGCGGGTCAGGTAGTGCGGACTGGGAAATGTGGGCGGGTCAGGTAGGCGGGTCAGGTAGTGCGGACTGAGGAATGTGAGCGGATCAGGTAGTGCGAACTGAGGAATGTGGCGGGATCAGGTAGTGCAGACTGAGGAATGTAGGCGGGTGAGGTATTGCGGACTGAGGAATGTGGGCGTATCAGGTAGTGCGGACTGAAGAATGTGGGCGGGTCAGGTAGTGCAGACTGAGGAATGTGGGTGGGTCAGGTAGGCAGGTCAGGTAGTGCGGGCTGGGGAATGCGAGCGGGTCAGGTAGGCGGGCCAGGTAGGCGGGTCAGGTAGTGCAGACTGGGGAATGTGGCGGGTCAGGTAGCGCGGACTGAGGAATGTTGGCGGGTCAGTCAGCCAGTATGGACTGGTGAGTGCGAGAGGTGTATGTGCCAGGTGCGCCCGTCAGGTCCGGGTTAAGTATGAGTAGGGTTAGGTGGGTGAACCTGGAGCAAAAGTGCCTTGTCGACTGCGGTCTGCGGGTATCGCGCGGGTCGATCTGACCATACTGTTGGCCAGTGCGGGGACCAGGTTAGACCGAGGACCAGATCAAGCCAGTGTGAGGACCAGGCTCTGGGGGGTGGGGCAAACCGAGGACCAGATCAAGCCAGTGTGAGGACCAGGCTCTGGGGGGTGGGGCAAACCGAGGACCAGATCAAGCCAGTGTGAGGACCAGGCTCCAGGAGGGGAGGGGGAAGGGGACGGACGAGGACCAGATCGGAGGGGGGGGGGCAGGACCAGAGGGCGTGCACCAGACCAGGTCAGGGCGGGCATATCGCGGCGCTCCCAGCGGAGTTCAGTGCCGTCCTCAACAGGGGGTTGGTGCAGTGCGATAACGCGCTGGTCGTGAAGCTACGACAGCGTAGTTACGGTTGGACTCGTGGGCTGATCAGGCTTGCCGTGAAGATTGGATGTATTCTGTCCTTCACTAAACATTCCTTGCAAGATGTGATACACGGGCTTAACTTGTAAGACGTACGTAATCAAGTTATGAACCCTCGCCCTACGGCGGTTTTGAATCTCCATCCCACAAGGGGAGAGTCTCAGATGCTCTCAAATTTCTCGAAAACTTGGCAAGCTTAAGTCACGAGGCAAACGGAATTGGAAACCTCTTGGCAAACTGGATCAGACGGGTGTGTTTGAATGCTGGTGAATGTAGCCTTTCAAAGACAAAGCCGGTCAAATTGATAAATTGGTACTTTGTAGACTCCTTCTGCTATCTCAGCAGCTAAGCATGATACGGAAATGTCACAGATGGCATTGAATACATCTTAAAAACGCTATCAGACACTAGTGGACATGAACATACGTGGCCTGTAATTCCTGTTATGTCAGGTCAAAGCCGGAAAGGTAATGGTTGCGTTGGGCGGGTAAATGAAGCTTTAATAAGGAAGTTAATTATGTAAGTTGTTTAGATCATTTGTGAGGAACGTTATTCACATAGATAAGATAGTAGTAATAGCCTTATTTCTCGGAGAAAGCCCAGTAGAATGGAGATATAGATGGGTTGATATTTCGGCAACACGCCTTTATCGAAACAAGAGCAGAGGCATATGGAGAACCGAGTTAGTAAGGCCTCCTTAAGTGATAAGAAAGTGTGCTATTCAAGTCTAAATGCCATAGCTGTCAAACGGTCAAATCTGGTCATATTAGTCACCAGTACCGGGAATATAAATAAAAATTGAAATAACTGGATAAAAACTGTGATTTAAAGTCATATAGATAGTAATAAGAGACTAGAATACCTCCGAAATACACTTCGTGCTGGAAACGAACGTCATTTGTTGCACTTGGCAAAATGTCACCGACATGACCTCGAGAAAGGGCTCATAGTCTCCTTGTGTCTGGATACTGTCCGGATAAAAAATTCCATTTTCGCGAGATGTGTAAAAATAATGAGACTCAGCAGCCCAAAATGTACGCACCTCGCTCACAAACGTTCAGAAGCGATTCCAGAAAGTCTTGAAGTCTTGGAGAACCTGCAATTTTAGCTTCGCCTTTGAAGGGCCAGGGTAAAACGAGGGAATGTGTCATTGGATAGCAATTCTTGGCTGTATGCAAAGTGTCAGGACATTCATTTCAGCACAGTCAATAAAACGGAATAGCAATTTGTGTGTAACTATTGTTGTCAAAATTCGTAAAAATACCCGTTTCCCCTGGCATAGAAATAAAAATGAAATTGGGCGAGAAATTTCGCTGCGTTTAGACTGATGGGTGTTGATCATGCGTCATTTATCATAAGTCGTTTCTAACATAATTCGTTGATCGATGCCGACGCAAAACGCCGGCAAGTTGAATCGTTATAAATTCTCCGCTGATTTATGAATGAATTATTTTATGAATTTTCCACTGGGATTTATTTCCTTTTGCGCATATTGATGACAATCATTATGCTCATCTTACTGGACAATGACAAACACGAAGTTGACATTGTTTATCAAGATAGTATAATTAGCTTGACGTAAGGGTATCACAAACTGTACTTTTGGGGTGGGGGAAGGCAAAGCCTCCAGGCTGACTTGAGCACCCCCCCCAACGCTCCTCTGAGACCTCTCAATGCATATGAGCAAAGAGCGAAAAATGGGTCAAATATGGATACAATAGTTACCTTGACTACCGTCATGCTAGGTAGTGGGTACCAAAACACATGATTAGTATCAGGTTAATGCTGTAACAAATCGTGTTCTGTACACACCGGATGTTTTTGACGTGCCAACTCGTTCCCATGTTGAGTCAGCTTGCAAATGCTTGACAAGTTCTTTTTAATGGTAACGCCTGGGTTGGAATAAAGAACAATTGTTCGCAATGTGCAGCAGCTTTCAAAAGTACAGGGTGACCCAGATCAAAAATAGCTCATGTGTTCCTCAACAGTGGCAAGTATATTTGTCACATAATCGTGGCTATGGTGGCTATGCAACGCGATCACCCACAGAAGTTTTCATTAGTAATCTCTTAGTAAGATTTATGAAGGTGTTTTTTGTGAATTACCCTCATTCGCTATGCCTTTCACAATAAGACAGGTAACATTAATTGGAAGTGGGAAGTAATCTCTCCGCAGGAAAATCATTTTGAATCTACGAAAGTAAGCTTATAAATAAGTTATTTCAACATGGATGGCATCAAGCTGAGTGACCGAAATCCGAGGCAAATAATGTTTGGAGGTAGGTTAAGTCAATCCTTCGGTTGAGCCCTCCAACCGATTTTAGAAAGTGACACCCGTGCGTAACGCTATTGTTGGACGATGGATTCCGTTACGCTCCGATCAATGTTCATGTGTCGAATGAAACAATGGTGTGGCGTGCGTTACACGACGAAATTTATTTCCCCAAACCAGTCGTGGACTGATCTTACACGCACAGCCTCGGCCTAGATCTTTAAGCTTGCCAAAGTGCACGCCACCCTTCCGATGGCCAAGAAATCTAAGCACCAAGTTGTATTCAAAGCAAAAATGATGGGGTCCCTCGCGTTAATTTCAGACCGACATGATAAGTGCGTTCAGTGAACTCACCGCCGAGTGGACTGGTGAGAACGGGTCCGGCTGGATGTAGCTGTGGGTGCCGTTCGTCAGCATCGTGGAACGCAACGAGCCATCCAGGATCACCATTAGTTCGCAAGTTGTTAACACTTCACGGGCTCAGTGCAGCTTTGCTCGCAAGACAATTCGGCCACAGCACAGGGCGCCGTCCCGACACCCCACCTCACCGCGCTTTCTCCGGGACTGGCGGTGCCTGTCGCACTTCGTTGGCGCGTGCACGATCGTCCATAGGTGGCAGGGCAGTCGGTGACATGACGTCACCCAGGGGGATTCGGCAGCGGATTGGCGGGCGCAACAAATTTGTATATCTTCTGCACTAGATCGTGCATTTTCAATGATTTCGTGCTTCTCAAGCGAGATGATTTCGTGCTTTTCAAGCCATCACAGCCTTACCACGGCGGCTAACTGGTTATGGCCTTCAGCTCCGGCGGATGGGAGAATAAACTGACACCGAACCTGGGCGTAACACTGGTTTCCATTCGCAGCATCCCGCGCCCAAGCTATCGGCATGTATCATGTGAGGTAGGCGTTATCACCGGCTACGCTTGCACGTTGAGTTACGTCACGGGCGCAGAAAGTCGGAAAGGGGCATGGCTGCCCATCCAGCTTCAAAGCCAAGGCGGGGAGGTGAAATCACGCAGCTTTCAACCATGTAGATATTTCAGCAGCCGTATTACGGCTGCGAACACAGCCGGATGTCAAGTTCATTTAGGCGCACACTTCAAACATTCCGAAAGGGATTGCCCCCCAAAAAGTGGAGGCGCCATGTATTAGTGACGCCTTCAAAGTCCCTATCAAAAATTGTTGGCCGCAGGGGAGTTACCTCGAACGTTAATCCGAAGCTGATTTTTGTAAGCTTTACCAAAGGAATCTTGTGAGAACAACTTGAGGACGGGGTCGCAGTTTTTGGCATGCCTGACAACCAGTTTGTTAAACGTTTGGTGAATGAGCATCCTGTCTTCAAGGAATTCATGAATACCTGACCCGGCGTCTCCAAAATAACCACTTTCTCGGGCATCTATCTTCATGCTCCAGAAACCTGCTGTGCCTCCCCACGTTCCCCAGAACAATTTCAGATAATTGCGGACACTGCTAAAGCAAATCTAGCAAATTTAGTGGGCGGCAGCAAATTCATAGAACAATACGTAGCGAAGCCATAGGAAATTAATAAAACAATACATAGCAAAGCGATAGCAAATTAATAAAATAATATGAAGAGAAGCGATAGCAAATTCATAGAACAATGCGCATCAGACACTGACTCGCCACCAGCTGGCCGCTACCTGCTTGCAAAGCGTCGTGACTGAAAGAACGCCGTCATTTATTACGTTCATTGTCATGATTGCTGTCAGCAAAAACTACACCTCTAATTGCACAGCGGCCGGCAAAAACTGGTGATGCTACATTTAACTGCCAAAACCCACATGCACGCAACATATGCAGGAACGCAGCTAAGGGGGCCCCAACTTAGGCTCAATTTGTTCTGTTTTTCACAAAGGGCTGCTTCCGGCAGAAAGTAAAAAACGGCATCATGCGCTCTTACCGGGCTCCGGGCCCCTCCCTGAAGAAAATCCTTGACGAAATGTACTAAACTATTTTTAAATAGTTAATCCGAGCCTTTTGAATGGATGAATTTCTGCGGTCAGAGCTCACGCTAAGCAGCGCTTGTGTGAGCCCTGACCCCACCATCCGATCACACAATTCCATGCCAATAGCAGAATTTGGTGGTAAAAGTTTAACATGCCGCGATGCTCGGCACGGTCCGTCCTGCCCTCTGACGTCATCTGACCTTTATCGCGGCCGCTGCCACCGGTCACAGGTCATACCTTTAAACGGCACACGGCAGGTACGCCGCAGACGAGGGTCGTCATTGCAACGAATTACCCGCCAGCACTGACCTATTCAAGCTCACGTGACTGCGAAATCAGCTCACAGTAGCCATTTGTTCAATGCTTTTGAAGCCTGCTTTTTGGAAACCTGCTTTTGAAACCTGCTTTTGAAGCCCTTTTTGAAACATGAAGCCTGAAAAAATCGTATCAAGGTTCAACGCCTACGATTTTTTACCAGACAAATTTCGGGTGGGGTGGACAGCACTGAATGAACCCGGACGAGACCAGACGAAACCAGACACCATCGGACTGAACCGGATCGGACAAGATCAGCATTAAAAGTTCACAGTTCTTATGCCGACTTATTAACCTTCAGGATACCAGGAGGTGCTGGTTAAACGACGTTATAGAGCAAACAACGCCTCTATTCACCGTACTCGACATTTCAAACTGTGCTTATGTAAGCACGGCACTGGTTAGCGTGTCAAGGGGCCGGCAGTGGCCGCCGCTTTGTGGCCGCCTGCCTTCCGGCTTAGACAGTCGGAAAGACTGTGTGAAAGACTATTAGAGCGCCGCGCAGGGAGTTGATGTACTCCACGACCCCGTCGTGGAGCCGCCTGACGCCGGCCGTTACGGCCGCCTGGAGCCGCGCTGTGTTCATGTTTGGACTTACCGATCCGACAAAGAGGAAAATGTTTGCTTTCGTGTGGTCTTGATAAGTTGTTGCTGTGTTTTCATTATTGTCGCACCTTCGTTTTATCATGCAATATCCAGCCCGTTGGCTGCAGTCAAAAATCCATCCACAGATGCAGATAGATTTGTAACGCATACATGGTGATGATCGTCATAATGGTGCCGGCCTCAGTCGATGGTTCTGCGGCATGCTGAGATCACACGCTGTGATTGAAAAGGTCGTTGTTAGATGGCAGCATAATCGGCAACGAATCCGGAATGGGGGGGGGGGTTGGGAGTAATTGGTTGCCATAAAAGAGGCTTTGCGATTTTCATCATCTTCTGAAACAGGACACCCTTAAAGTTTGCTTTCACTTTGTAAAGCACAGTTTTGCTTAACAGGATAGGGAAAATCTAAGCCAAAGATCAATTTAGTCTGTCAATTGTCATGCTCAGACACAGGAGGCATCAACTAGAAAGGCATAGCTGCTTTTCCTTTCCAACATCCGTCCCTCTTATCCTCTATCTCGCTTCATCCTGCATCCTCGCGACACCCCGTTTGTCCGGGGCAGGCTGCATGTGGCAGCGCCCCAGTGAGCAGGGAAATATTTTTCACTGCGATGGCTGGGTCCCGTAGCACTTTGACGCTGCTGGCTCTAACCAAAATGCTGAGCTGTTGAGCAATTCCGTCAAACTGGCCTGATGTAGCGAGCAGATCACGCCTAAACTAACCAAGTACTTAAGAAAAGTTTAATATCCACCACAGGGGCAGCGCGCCTGCCCTTTAAAGACCCGTCTGAACGTTGCACCGCTGTACGGTCCGGCTGGGGCAGTTTCCCGTTACGTCTTCCGTGCTCCGAAAAACACCCTACGGAGTTTTTCCGATCCGGAAAAAGCTGTGCGGACTCCAACAAACTCCGCGTGCTCCGAGACCAGAAGCATTTCCATCCGCCTGGAGTTGACCGAGCTACGCGATGATACGGCGCAACGCGAATCTCCCTGGTGAAGGTGCCCAATCACAACACGAGACCGCAGCGCGCGCGCAATCATGACTGGCGCCAATCGTGACAAAGGATCGCGCCGTCACGTGGCCCTGGCGCCCGTTCATCAATCAGCAACCGCCTAATTTCCCATTTTAGCTGTGAAATAAGCTTCACGGCTTGTTGAGTTTCCATCCAGTGGGCGGCGGATGACGGTGTGGCTGCAGGGCGGATGACGGTGTGGCCGCAGGGCGGGTGACAGCGTGGCCGTAGGGTGTATGACGGTGTGGCCGCAGGGCGGATGACAGTGTGGCCGTAGGGTGTTAACGGTGTGGCCGCAGGGTGTATGACGGTCTGGCCGCAGGGCGAATGACAGTGTGGCCGCAGGGTGTATGACAGTCTGGCCGCAGGGCGGATGACAGTGTGGCCGCAGGGTGTTAACGGTGTGGCCGCGGGGTGTATGACGGTCTGGCCGCAGCGTGGATGACAGTGTGGCCGTGGGGTGTATAACGGTGTGGCCGCAGGGTGGATGACAGTGTGGCCGTGGGGTGTATAACGGTGTGCCCGCAGGGCGGATGACAGTGTGGCCGCAGGGTGTATGACAGTGGCCGCAGGGTGTATGACGGTGTGGCCGCAAGGCGGATGACGGTGGGCCGAAGACCGGTCGGCGAATCTCACGCCGCGCCTCAAGATATTGGCCATGCTGCAGCGCAGGTCGGACCAATGGGCTGAAGTCGGTTGCAGAGTGAATCACTCAGAGGGTCGTAATGAAAGTACACATAGGAGACTAAACTCCATGTCTCAGAGAAACCTGGTCTTCGCTGCCGCCAATATGCTAAGCGCAGCAGCTGGTGATCTGAGAAGCAGCACTCGTGACTCTCGTTCAACCCTGGTGATCTTGGCAGCAGCACTCCTGACTCTCGTTCAACCCTGGAGATATGAGCAGCAGCGATGCACATCAGGTGGCCCGTCTGGGCACCGCGGCTGCTTGTGGCGCCTTCTCCTGGTTCTACTCCTGGTTCTATTATAAGCAGTCTGTCACACTCCAGGGTCTCGACCAGCATGTTAACTTTGAGACGAATTGTCATGCGGTGGTGACGCGTGCTTCGTGGATGCGTCAAAAATATCGCCTCATTTCCATATTGGGTGTGGAACGAAATAAAATAAGTAACTCCCGCCATCGTTCGGAGATAAGACACGACGGCCTTCATAGTTTTGCTTTCCCCTGAAGAGCTCGCAGTGATGATGATGGTCTAACGCAACACAAGCCACACACAAGACACCACGTATGGGGAGGTGTCACACAAACCATTTCTTGTAGCCAGGGCTGTATATAGCAAGGTTTGTGTGTCCACAACACGCCCCATATGCCAGTGAGGCTGCCTGTCTGTGTGGTTACCCGCTCCCCAGGCGCCAGAGGTGGCCGGCCACCCGCTCCGTCCGTCACCAGGGGTGCCCGGCTACCTGCTCCAACCGGTGCCAGGGGTGCCCAGCCACCAGCTCCACCCGTCGCCAGGGGTGCCCGGCCACCCGCTCAGTGCGTCGCCAGGGGTGGCCGGCCACCCACTCCGCCCATCGCCAGGGGTGGCCGGCCACCCACTCCGCCCGTCGCCGGGGGTGCCCGGCCACCCACTCCTCCCGGTGTCAGGGGTGCCCGGCCACCCGCTCCG